CGAATGGGAGCTTTCCCCTTTCCGACATGTTTCAGCGTTACAGAGTAACATTCTTTAGCTGCAACTTGGTCTCCATGAATGTCAATCACTCTGGTTCCGTCTGGCCCCAAGCATCTCATTACCTGATGCAGAGTGGAAGGAACACCTTGAACTCTGTGGATCCACCCTCTGCCCATCAGAAGATTGTAAGAGGGATGAATTTCAACAACCACAAAGGTTTCCGTCAAAACCCTCTCGGTAGCATGTACCGCTACCTCCACCGTACCGACGGGCTCCACTCGCTTTCCATCAAACCCTAATAGTGGATTCCCGGTGGATTTCAGCCGATCTTGTTTGATCTCGAGTCGATCGAATGTATCTCTTGGCATAATGTTTGCACTACTTCTAGGGTCAATTAGAACTCTGCGCACCAAGCATTTGGCCACTGTCAAACTTACGACCAGCAGGTCCTCATGAGGGATCTGAACACGCAACAAGTCTGTTACGTCAAACTTTATCTGCGTTGATGCGCTCTGTTGGTGCTGAGTGTTTACACTGCCTATCCTTCTCTTCATCCGTGCCTGGCGAAGGCGTGTTCGAAGCAGTTCATCTGATTCCTCGACAGGTTCTGGCCGACCGTGAATTACATTAATTACGCGAACTGGTTGCGTGTTGTGAGAAATCGACTTTTGATTCTTCTTCACGTGCTCCATTGGTCGGTTCTGCTCCACTGTTGGTCCTTAAATATAACTTGTGAACTCCCCTCTGGCTATCAGCATCTCTACCTGTCTCCTTAGGTTCCTGCATTCTTTAGTCTGGTGGCCAAAATCAGAATGAAATGCATAGTGCTTAGACTGATCCCTCTGTTCGAGAGGTTGTCTGATTGGTAAAGGAGGTCGGAACTTATCTTTATTTTCTTGGTACAGTCTCGCTAGGGTAACTTTCAATGGAGTAAGCAACTCTTCCTCTCTAGGCCTCTTCTCAGATTTCCACGAGGAGCGTTGCGGCTGAACCTGTTTTTGCCTGATCTTTGCTTTGGTCTTTTTTTCCGTGGATATAACGGATGTCTTCCGAATGTTTGCCGCCTCTTCTTCTTCCAAGCGCACAAATCCATTGGCTCTTTCGTTAAGTTCATCCATAGTCCTCGGCGTGTTCACCACCAAGCTTGTGTGGAATGGGGTGCCACGGTTCATGGCTAGTATGAATATTTGAACTGCCGTTGAAGGGTGACATTCAATAACCATGCTCTTGGTAAGGTTAAACTTGGTTAGGAAAGCCTGGAGACGCTCTTCAGCGTGGTGCTTCATTGTGAATAGGCTCGAAATATCTTTCGCTGGACGCTTGTTTCCACTGAACCCCTCGGCAGGTTCTTGAACCAATTCAGAGCTGGTCCGGCCAGACTCATAGGAAAGCACTTGCACATCAAAGAGTCATTCTCAGTGTTTAGAGCCATTTTCAGCTGGATGTGATACACGTGATCAATCGGATCAGTCGTTCCGTTGAACAGAATGAAAACGGGTATGGAAAATTTCCTCGGACTCGGAGCATTCAGAATCTCATCGGTGAACGGTGAATCAACCGTTCGAGCTGCTGAACGGAGCGCTTCATTTTCCCTCTGGAACCTTGTGGCTGCTCTCTGGTCTACTGATCTCCTCTTTGAGCTGTGATAGTCGAACGTTGCTATGGAAGGCCGCTAGGTCGGATCGAGTGATCTGTCCTCAACAAAGTCTTTGCGCCATGGAGGCATAGCTTTCTGACGAATCAACTCTGTTGCCTCACCTCGGCTGAGCGTTTCTTGATGTGGATCAAAAGTCATTGCTTCGTTTCGCCTGATCTGCTCGCGCCGTGGATCTATGTGAGTTGATCCTTCACGACGGCGCCAATTGAAGATACAAGATTTCACTTCTTTTCTCTTTTCCTCTCTCTCTCTCTCTAGAATTTTTTCTCCCTTTTTTCCACCTGTCTTGGTCTATTTATAGGCCATCACCCTTATTACTGTTAACCGATTACATTGGGCCTATATTCAAAAGTCTTCTTTCTTCTGGGCTTGATCTTCCAATGGGCTTGACCTTCCTCGGTGGATCCCCCAGGTTCGGCCCATTCCGGGGCGCTTTGGTATGGATCCTACTTTAATCGTTCGACCCGATCCGTTCCAGCGAACTATATCCGGCCCATGCCACTTGCTGCATCCTCAAAATAGATCCATGACCAAAAACGCTATAAATTGAAAAAATTTGATCATGACATACAAATCTCTATTAAAGCTCTACGAATATAATAAATTAAAATTAAATAATTAAAGAATTTTAATTCTAATTTTAACTTAAACATATTATTTATGCAAGTATAATGGAAAAATAAAGAGTTCCAAAACTACGGTCTCTGATACCACACGTAAAATTTAATTTATTCGTGCAAACCATTCATCACAAATAAACATGAATTCCAGGATTTTAAAACTTCATTATTTTCACATAGTCTATAATGTATAAATAAATACTAGTTAGATATAAATACTTTGATCTGTGATTGCAAATAACGTAGAGATCAAGTCCAACTTCGAGATCCTTTCTGCAGAATGAACAACGAGATAAACTGTAATAGCCAAAGCATGGAAACCGATTTCTCTCTCGTGGCCTTTGGCACACATAAATATTATATGTGTTGTATTCATTAGCGTATATAATTGATGGGATATATGCACTTTTATAAAGGCAGAGAGAAGACCAGTTTTCCTTTTTAGTTACCTTAATTTTAAGGAATAAATAGGAAAACACTTCTCCAATAATTAATTACCATAAAGGTAATTTATAAGTTGACCAAACAATATAATATTAATCTGATACCTATTTACTTAACCACTAATTAATAAAATATATCATATGTCCAAAACATGTGGGCCACACAATATAAGAAAATATCTTACATTGTCAGCGCAACCCGACTCGATTTTAACCCAATTAATTTTTTTTTGTGGGTCTTTGATCCAGAATTTAGTTTCTATTGTAATCCGATTTATAAAGGTGTTAGAGTTGTTATCATTCAGTAGAGAGAACATTGAAAGCCAAAATTAATTGACAGCAAGACACAGACAAATGGTTGGCAGCTTGAGAAATTTGTAATCTTGGTTTTCTTTTTGCATTGTAAAATTTTTTTGCCAATTTTTACTGTGAAAGCAGGTTATAAGTCGAACATCGTTAAATATTTTTGTTTGTGTGATGTGTGATTATCGTTTTCAATCAAATTTTTTATTGTGCTTTGTTGCGGTGTATTTCGTAAGAAAACCATTAAAAGTGATGGGTTATGAGCGACTAAGAATAGTTGGGACTCATGGCGGAGGGAGAGGGGTTTATGGGGCCATTTGTATTTAATTATTTATGATTGTTAATAGTAATTTTGTGGAAAATATAGTTTGCAAAGGAAATTGTCATTGTAACCATTGCTACAACTTAATAGTATTCTATTCATATCATGTATAAACAATTATTTTAATTTATTTCTAAAATTTAATGTTATATTACTAGTTTGATTTCCTTTTTGGCTTATTTGGTTGATCAAATAAATCCAATCAGGGCTTACTTCTAACTAAGTCTCTTACCTCTTGTTAACCCGCTGCATCTTTTATTCTCTTTCAGATTTAATTATAGTTTAATTGTGTTGACAAGGTAATACACAATGCCGCCCTTTGCACAAATGGGCCTGGATCGAATGCCATAAAACGTGTCTTACCCTCACTTTGGACATCAATTGATTTTTGGATAAGATGGCACAGTCCGATACAACAAGTGATTCCGAGCTAGAAGTCATGGGTTTGATTCCCAAGGGTCCTATCTGGTGAGGGAGGGATTGTTGACAATGTAATAGCAAACAATGTCACTCCTTACATTGGTGGGCATTGATTATTATGCCATAAAAAAATGTGTCTTACCCTTATTGGACATCAATTAATTTTTAGATAAGGTGACACAGTTGCTTATTTTGATTGATTTAATCATGCTTTATTATTATTATTATTGTGATTTTTTTTTTTTTCCTTTTTAACTTTTGAATTAACAGAAATTTGATTCTTTAACTAATTTCAAAATTATTTTGGTGAACAGAATTAGATTATTGGTTTTCAACTTATTATTTGGAGGGTAAAGGAAAACTATACGAAGGATAAGTAAGTAACAAATGTCGTCATCTCTCATATGTCTAAGGTATTCAATAATGTCACTTTTTTCATATTTCGAAGCCTAGTGCAATTTTGCCTCTATAGCTATCATTCAAATTACATATTTACATAAAAAAAAAAAATGTTAAATTCAAAAATAAAGAAACTATCCAATAAAATTTTGTTGCCATGGCCTACGCAGAATTGATCACAACATGCTTTTAGTGGGGTTTGAACTTTCAAACTTCCATTTGAAAAACAAGGATGATCAATATTCATATATATTATTAGGTCTTGCAAATTTTCGCTGCGTGAACACGAGAGTCTTTCACAAATCAATTCCGGGTCGATGTCATCACTTATTAGACCTACATATGGAAATTTAATTTGAGAATTTCTGATGTGAACATGCATCCAATTATTCTATATAGCAAAAGTGTTGACCAAATATGTTGATAAATTCATTAGAAACCTATTTTTTTTTTTTTTTTTCAAGTAATTCATTAGAAACTTTCATCATTCGGCTGACTAAGACAATTACCCTACATTTGATGTAGAGGAATGAAATGGAATAGAATGTCCATTTCAACCATTCATTTATTTTGTATACAACTTAAAGTCACTACAACAAAATAGGCTTTTAACAACACATTTTCTACAAGGGGCATGCATAACCCTTGTAGAAAGTACTTTCTACAATAGACCCGTGTAAGCCCTTGTAGAAGAGTAGTTTTCGACAATAGGCCCGCATGGCCTGTTATAGAAAGGACTATCCACAACAGGCCCGCATGGCCTGTTCTAGAATAGGGTTTATTATTCTAAAAATTTCATTTTGGCGGCTTATTTTTTTTTCAAGCTCTAGCATAGCGCGAAAAAGGCACCTTTCCTAATATTCTTCCCAAATTCGCACACATCATCTATCAACCAAAATCCACTTCGCACACATCGATCCATCAACCAAAATCGACACGAAACCCTAATCCTATAAGCCCAAATTTCGGGCGAGTTTCACATTCAAATCGAGGAAAATAACCCAGGTACGTATGTTGATCTCTCTGTTCTTGGTTCATTTCTGTTCTTCTCTGAATATATATATATATATATATATATATATATATATATATATATATATATTTGGTTCATCTCTGTTCTTGTCTGAACTCATCTCTGTTCTTCTAGTTAAATCCTAATGTTTTCTGGTAAATTGATGGACTCTGGTAAATTAATAGACTTCCAAGTCCTAATTGATGAGTTAGTGAAGGGGGAAAAGCTTACAGACAACATGATCTGGTAAAGTTTTTAGGAATTTCATCTATGTTGGCTGTATTTAATCCGTGACAAGAAGACTAAGGTTTGTAGGGTTTCTTATTAGGGTTAATACTGAAATGGGGGATTAAATAATTTAATCATTTAGGATGATTGGATGTCCCATGGAGATCGAATTTCTCCGTTTCTATTTTTGCGGTTTATATAATTCTCTTCGTAATTCTGTTATCTTGATGGGGTCATTGCAATAAAACTATTTTAAGTGACTAAAAACTTTTAAAACACAAATCATTTTATGGAACCCCAAAAATTGATGTTATGAGTACTATAGTGATGGCTCCCATTTCACTTAGGTTCTCCAATTATGATATTGGGATTTGTAACTTCATATGCTATGTGAGATGGCAAAAGACAGTTGGATCACTCTGTCTCCTTGGGAATTCTAAAGGAAGTGACCAAGTTATGATTTTACGAATTTCAACTGGAATATTTTTCTAATTCCATAAATCCTCTTTGCTTCAATCGGATGTGAGCTTACTTGCATGTGTTGATGGATGTCTAAACACAGGGTCTTCTAAAACTTTAAGTAGTAGCTATTTATGAATTGTATCATATGGTAGTTTGAAGTTCATATCTATGAAGTTGCATTTTTCTGATGTATATTTGGGTGCTTTCCATAAAATATCCCTTAGCCCATGGATTTCAAACTCTCTTAAGGAATGAGATTGTCCAAGAATGGGTGGCCACAGCCAGGATAATCATAACCATAATCCATTCCTTTAGAGAGTGCGATAAGCAAAGATATGAGTTAGCATACTTCTTGTTTTCTTTTTCTTTTTCTTCTTCCTTCTTTTTATCACAACTTGAGGGGGGTCTTCGGTGTAGTATTCTGTTTCTGCCCCAACTAATTCTGGATTTAATTTTAGTGCATTTTCTCGATATTTATTGTAGTGTCTTATGATTCTATCTTGTGTGAATGCACGTCGTACAATTTCAAAATGTTATCTTCAATTGATGAGAGAATTATGGTTCATTTTTTGTTGTTCTTTATTCTTTCTATTTAAATAGAAGAAGACAATCAGAGTTTGATAATCCTTATAAAATTTAATTGTCACGGCAGGCTTCCTTACTTTCACTTCTACCAACACACTTGCTGAAAATATCAGATGTCACAAAACTGACTGCAAATGCTTTGGCTCCGCTTGTCAATTGTGTATAGTGTTTTTGTTAATATATTTTTTTTCTTTTGTTCTATTTTGTTACAAATTTTACCTTTTCTCTTCTCCTTTTGCTATTTTTTGTTTTCCATGTAGAGACCCCGTCTTTTACTGTTTTTCTCTACATGGAAGGATGCATATAAACTGTAAGGGATGTAAACTATAAATCATCCGGGTGGTGTTGTTCTTTCAGCTTGTTATGTCAGCTCTACAAATTTTTATTTTTATTTATTTATTTTTTTGGGCTTTCAGCTTGTTATGTCTGCTTTACCATTCATTTTTAAGTCTTCCTCAACTTGTAGAAACAATATTTTCCTTAATGTCTCCCTGCTTGTAGAAATTGAGCAAAATCATTCGTTCTTTTTGCAGCGCTTGCAAACAGCTTTCCTTCCTGTGGTTATCTGATTATGTATTTGCCTTTTTGGAAAAAAGCCTAGTTGCTGCTTCCTGCACAAAGCGATTTAGTCTGTTGTAATGTACATGATGTTTTGGATTCCGAGGAAAACTTACATTCCTTTTTCTTTTCTTTTTATTTTTTATTTTAGGGTGCAAGTGGATGCATTATCTGTTGCACTATTCAGAGCTCTGAATCTTACAACCCGGTACGATGTTATGACAAAACTGAGAATAGTATTTTTTTTTTTTTCCCAACAATCAACACCTTTTTTTTAATTGTTTCCTTTTGTTGCTTTTGTTATTTTAAATATTGGGTTTTGTTTTCTCTCTTTCTATTCCTTTTAATTTATTTCCTTATTTTCTGCATGAACATCTTCTCCTACATTGTAAGCAATGAGATTGCAGCATGAGGTATGCAACTTTATACTTCTTTTAAGGTAAAGCTCATCTGGATATAGCATGTTAGCATCAGTTACTTCCAATGTGAAAACATTGTTTGGTCCATGAAACAAAAAGGGCTTTGATGTGATTTGAGTTAGAAAATTTACTAGGGTGTTTAAGGAAGTTAAATTGCACATATTGATGGTAAGGCAATGAAACCTGTTTGAAGAGGTCATAAGTTTTTTTCTTTTTCCATCTGAAAATATTTACTGCCATATGAAGCCAATCTTTGCTTCAGTCTTGTCTTCTGCTTATAGAATTTTCTAAAGTGACATTAGGCTTCATTTTGAAATCACTTCCACAGTTGCTAGGTTCACGTAGTCTCCATTCTGTGATAGGCCGACATGTTCAATGTGTGTTTCTGTCTAGCATAAATTTGATGATGAAGATATTAGTAAAATTTATTAAAATACTATAGTGATATACATTGTTAAAATATGTGTATCCTTCTTGGCATTCTTAATGGATTATATTTTACCTATCGAAGAGATATATGTTAAACAATCATATACGAAATGATGAGATTTGAGAATCTATATCTTGTTATGCTCTCTCTTAAATTGTTACTATAGTTTAGGACTGATTTGCTTTTCAGATGTTGGCTGTTGCTGGTGCTCCTTATGATACAAGAGGAAGTTATTGGTATCAAAGACTCTCATAGGCTGGTTCCAAAGATTTTGGAGTGAACTACCGGGAAATTCCATTGAATTTATTTTTGTATTTTTAAAAATTACTTTTCACAAGGGGCACAGACCTTTGTAGAAAGCCCCCTTTGTACAATGGGCTGGAACCGTCGTAGAAGACCTTGAGTCAACAACGACAGGGGATACCACAATGGGCCATGCCCATTGTAGAATTGTTTTTTGCCCCTTGGTAAAAGTCATTTTTCTTGTAGTGAGTGGGAATGGCCATTCCATTGGAATAAAAATCCATTCCTGGGAATGAAAATTTATTCCACAACTAAACTTATGGAATGACCATTCCATTTTGAAGTAATTTATTTAAAAAAATCAACTTCCTAAAACACCCTCGTATTTCAAGTCAAAAAACCACAATTTCCTTCCACCACAATCATATCCGCCTTTCATCACCACCACTACCACCATCGACTTTCACCATCGCCCACCACTTTTCACCACCACCACCACCGCCACTACGTTTGCCACAATCACCACCGCCGCCTTTCACCACCGCTACCTCCACCACCACCATTGCCATTGCCTTTCACCACCTTCCACCACCACCGCCGCTGCCATCGCCTTTCACCACTGTCACCACCACCACTGTTACCGCCTTTCACTACCACAACCTTTTACCACCACCACCGCCGCCTTTCACCACTGCCACAACCATCTTTCACCACCGTCGCCGCCTTCCACAACCACCAACAACGCCGCCATCGCCTTCTACCACCTTCCATCACCACCACCTTCCACCACCGCCACCGCCACCACCTTTCACCACCACCATTGCCGCCACTACCATCACCGCCGCCGCCTTCCACCACCACCGCCACTTCCACTGCCTTCCACCACTGCCATAGTCACACCACCATTCCCTTCCACCACAACCACCACACTACTGCCATCGTTGTCCACCAGCACCACTGCCACCTTCCACCACCATTGCTGCCACCAATTTCCACCAACACCACTGCCACCTTCCACCGCCATTGCTGCCACCAATTTCCACCATTGCCACCATCGCTGCCTTCCAACATCACCACTTAAACTACTACCGCTTTCCACCATCCACTACCGTCACTGTCACTATTTATTTTAAAAAAATTATTAGAGAATATCATTTGTTAATTTAATTTAATTTATTTGTTACTCAGAGGGCTATTTTGGAGAATTCAATTAGAAATTTATTCCATTCTAAATTTCAAATTAGTTCAACCAAATATATTATTATTCCATTCCTACATATTTCATATTTACAACTAAACAATAGAATAAGAATGACCATTCCATTCCCATTCTCATTCCATTCCAATTTGTATTCTATTCCAATTTGTATTCTATTCCATTCCTACACACCAAACGTAGCTACATGTGTAAATTTCATCACTTATTAGACCTACATATGGAAATTTAATTTGAGAATTTCTGATGTGAACATGCATCCATTTATTCTATATAACAAAAGTGTTGACCAAATATGTTGATAAATTCATTAGAAACCCTTTTTTTTTTTTTTTTTTTTTAAGTAATTCATTAGAAACTCTCATCATTCGGCTGACCAAGACAATTAGGCCTTATACTTTTATCTTGAGCATAATTTCCTTTTTGTATCATGCATGCACACCTTGACCAATATATTATGAACAGAAATGATAAATAACTCCCAATCAAAATATAGTATTTCTATATATATATATATATTTTCACGGCAACTAAAGGATTGAAATCAATGGATTTTATATTTACAATTTGCATGGGTACCATATAAGGATGATTAATTGAAATACATGCCTCTTCATCCGTTTTTTCTTTTCTTTTCTTGAAACACCTTTACATACACCCAAGTTCGAATTTCTCCCCTCGAAACACATTCACACTTTTTACACATACCCAAGCTCAAGCTCATACAAATTAAAATAGAATCCTATTTATATATATTTTTCAACTGGTCCTTTCTTCTCATATCTGTCTAAGTGTCACAAAACAGGATTTGAAAGCTAGGGTCCTTTTGGCAACCACATTTGATTTGTGCTTTTGCTTTGATCTGAAGCAGAAGCAATGTTTTCCGCTTTAGAGTGTATTCAATACTATTTCGAAGTACTTACCCAAAAAAAAAAAAAAAAAAACACACTATTTCGAAGTTAGTTAAGTAACGTAAATTTATTGTAAGATTTTTTAAAGCAAAAACATGAAGCATGTTTAGTAAAAAGTGTTGCAAGTTTGAAAATTTGAATGGCTAGTAAAAAAATTAATTTAGAAATTATTTATTTTGAACAGTGTTTTGCTACAATGTGGAAGTAAACAGAAATATCATTTTGATACTTCTGATTTTGACGTCAATTTTGGAAGCGCTTCTGTACTATTCAAATGACAATAAACGTTACCAAACATATTTCGTGCTTTTGCTTTGTTACAGTACACTAGCAAAAGCCAAAAACACGAAGCAAAAATATTAACCAAACAGGCACCAACCTGCACGTCTCCAAGTGGGAACGGGTTGGCTACTTAGGCCCCCGGGTGGGAGCGAATCAGGTACTTTTTGCAATTCGACCAAAAAAAGACTTTAGCTATTAAATTGAGTTATAATACCCAATCCATATATACACAACCATTTATTCATCCGAATTTAATGTGGGATAAAACACTCCTTGCAACACAAAGCCATTCTTACAAGGCAAATCAGTTAGATTTTGTCTATTAAAAAAAAATCAATATGCCTACACTCAAAAACATGGTAGTAAGTTAGAATTATTATTATTATTTTTAAAAAATCTCTCAATAACAAGAATAAAGAAAAAACAAAATGTTTTATACCAGTTACCACTGTATAAATCTTGTTTTCTCCAAAATATCTATTTTAAAACCGCATGCACAATGGGCCGGTAAAATCTGGGCTCGGCCCGCAACTTGGGAACCCTGCCAATCTATACATGCGTATATAAATTTGGTACAAAATTTTCCTAAGAAAGTTGTATCAACAATTACATGCATAAAACATGTTGGTCGAACCATCTATATAGAAATAAATGGGCATATTGCAAATTAAAGGATTTTTGTTTTCCAGTACCTCAACTTGTCAAGTTCAATAAATTTATATATATTTGTAATCCAGCATTTCAGCTAGTCAAATTCAACAATTTATAGCAGAGACCTGGCAACCTTTTGTTAGGATTTAAAAAATTCCATTTATTTTGCAGTGAAATTTTAGTTGAAGAAGTAGATAAATCTTCCTATATCTTTCCAATTTCCCCTGAGTTTGACCTTTGAAGATTCTGGAATTTCTTTCACGCCAAGACAGATGCTGAAAGGGCGAGTTTTGACTGGGAGTGGTTGAAGCTTTTTGGTTTTCCAATGGTGAGAATACCACAGAATAAGGGAAGTCCAAGTGGGTGGTCGAATAAGGAATCTGCATTTGGATTGGATGAAGCTCCAAAATGGGGTTGAGAATGGACATTTGAAAAACAAGGAGCATGTATTGGGGGTAATGGAGATAAGCCATACTTTTTTTGTTCAAAGTAAATAGTCTGTCTTGAATTGCAACCCAGAATATGAACCAATGTTTTTGGATGAGAAAAGTGTCACTGTCCCGCCCCAACTCATGTAGATACTGTCTATTTTGCTCAAGGTTTTCAAATCCTTGAGTACGGAGAGTGTGCAAAGCGAAGGGTATCTACATAGGGTTTTTGAAACATTAGAGGGGATATGGCTAGAGCTGTAAGGCTATGTTTGAGGCTGTACCTCCCTGAAGGGGTGATGTGGTTTAATTCAGGAATCAAATTGAGAAGGTTTGGGCTAAAAGTTCAACCATTGGCTGAAATGAAATTGCTGCAGGCTGTAAGTTGGTGGGAACAGCAGTTGGTTGGATGATGGACTGTCTGATTCAAGGTTGGAGAGGCCCTCTTGGAAGCCAATTCTCATGCCAGAATGAGCAGTCAACACCATCACCAATTCTGATCTTGACTTAAGTGTCCTTGCAGCCTTGCAGGCTCCCCTGATTGAAGAAGTTTCCTCTTAACTTATTTGATGTCCGACAGTTTTATTAGATTTTAATTATTTTATAATTTTTAGGTAGTTTATTTTTAGGTCTTTTAATTTCCTTCTAGCATTAAATTCTTTATATCTTTAGTCTCTTTTTATTATTATGTTACCTTATGTTTTTTTAGGAATTAGTCTCCTTTAAAGATAACCCCATCATGTGAACATCTAATAGCTTTGCTACGTCACTATGGGAACACTATTGAGGTATGACTACTGAGGTAGGACTGCTTAGGTATGTTCATTTACCAAATGCATCTTACTTTAATTAGATATTGGTGGGACCACTGAGACCAACTATAGGACCACTTCTGTTTTTTTTTTTTTTTTTGGTTAAAAAATAGGACCACTTCCGTAGTTCTGTTGTTTAGTGGTGCTGATACTAAATTTTTAGCTAGCTGCAAGTAATGACTGCTTAATTTACATCTTGGGGTATCACTGGAATTTCAATATAGATTCTGGATCATACATCTGTATCTGCTTGCTACTGCACATACTTGGAGAATTTTGCGAATAAGCACTGGATAAAGCCTTCCAAATATCGAACGAAGTGGTAAGGCTGACAATATGGCCGAGAGCTTCTTCTGAAATAGTAACTATGAGCCAGCCTTTAACCTGTCTGTCTGTGCGTGTCCATGCCACCAGATCTATGCATGTGAGGAACTTTGCCTTCATTATTAACGCCATTGATCTCACCTTCGGGTGGTGGACTGTCTAATGTGATAAAACCAAGAAGATGCTGACTTTTAATTAAGGATAGAACTGTGTTTCCAACAAGAGATAGTTGGAAAATATGAGTTTCACAGATACGAAATTTGCTACAATGAGGTTAGCAGGATATGAGTATTTTGAAAAACTGTAGCCATTTGATTAAGAAGACAGAACTAAGAACTGCAAAGAGAAGTGGAAGAGAGAGCTAGATGGATCGTGCTATTTAGAGCTTTGGTGGCTCTAATACCATAAAGATAATTTAAAAGAGGCTTGTAATTGTGAAGTCATACCATTTTTTTATTGCCAAGTTTACATATAAATATGGGAAGTTGTTTACAACACAATATCCAGATAGTTGATACAACAAAATATTAATAAATCTTTTGAAATCAAGGTGGATAAATAAATTCAAAACACTTTGAATTTGCATTTATTGAATTTGAACTTCCTCCAGGTATGCCGCCTAACTCCTTTTCACTGTTCTGTTAGAGTACCTACAAGTTTTTAATAGTTGAGAGGCTTTTTCCGCAATTTTCCTAACCATTAATTACTATGTCCACTAGGTTGATGCCACCAAGAATGAGAATAATGACTTAATATCTGAGTGTAATGCAATGCAGTCACTTGATGCAAATTATGACTAAAATTATTTCAGAAACTCTATCCCATTCAGTCCCATAATTCTGCCGTTAATTGGCAGGGTAAGCTGCATAGTACTTGGGCCAATATATATATACTTTTGTCTGTTAGTTTCCATGCATTGTGCTTGTAAATTAAAATCCCCTGTCAATATGAAAAATTTCAAAGATGTGGAATGGCCTGTGATTTATGTGGGTAAACATGTGGTAGATGATGTCTGCAGGGTTCAAAAATAATTTTTAATTTGACATTCTTGCTGAGACAATTCAATTGCTGTTTTTTCTAATGTATAACAGTGCGCCGTTTTCTGAAAAGGCTAATGTTAAGAGTTCTTAAAGCAATAGGTGCGCAGAGTCCTACTATTCACAAGGTTACTGCATGCTTTCCCAGTACTTTTCTATTTAAACTTTTTTTTAATACTTCTACTTGGAGAAGAATTGTTGCAGGTATTGAAAAGATATTGGATATGAGGTCAAAAAACAATCAAGCCCATGAACTACTCAGTAAGATGTGTTCTCCAATCTGGACTTTTGATTCGAAACATGTGGGAGTACACTTGAAGCGATAAAAAGAGCCATCAAATGTGGGAATGTTGAATTTGTTGAGGAAGTCCTGAAGTCAAATCCTGCTTTGTTATGGGGGAATAGGGAAAACGGAACCATATTTCACATTGCAGTTGCTTTCCGTCAGGAGAAAATATGGAACCTCATATATGGTTTAAGTACCGAACATAGAAATAAAATCACTGGAATTCTAGTAGAATCAAACAGCTTGCTACATGTAGCTGCATGTCCAATGGTAATGCTTGAAACCATAAGAATTCAACATGAAGCTCCAAAAGAAGTGAAGGGAGAACAACAGTTCCAGAAGGTATTTAATAAAGCTCGTGATGCAGCTATGAAAATGCAGAGAGAACTACAATGGTACAAGGTGGTAATCTATTAATCTTAGCTAGATAGCTTTCTATTTATACCATCGATTTATCAAACTTTTGGTGTGAATTTTTGAAAATGGTATAGTTTAATTAATATATAGCAAACATAGAAGTAACTGGTATATAGTTTAATTATATTGCAATAATTATATAATTAAATCCCTGAAATCAATGTTAGCTAGCCAGCTAGTAATGTCTTTGAGCCCTTCCACTGACTCATATAATTAAATTGTGGAAATTAATATATAAGCTTCTAGCTAGCTAGATTGAAACTTGAAAGTAGTACTTATCAGAACTTTTATTTCATTGTTAATTTAATTTGTTCTTTCTCATCAACATGCATGCATAATAGGAGGTCGAGAGGATGGTACCATCTTCATATATACTTCTTCCTAACAAGTATGGAGAAACTCCTTCAGATTTGTTCTCAAACTATCACTATAACTTAGTCAAAGAAGGAGAACAATGGATGGGAGATACAGCAGGATCATTCACAATCGTTGCCGCTCTCATTGTCACTGTTATGTTTGCGGCAGCCTTCACATTACCAGGTGGCACTGATGAAAATTCGGGAAACCCCAAGTTCCTACAGCGCAACTCTTTTATGGTTTTCATTCTATCAGATGCAATCTCTCTATTCTCTTCAGTTACTGCAGTATTAATGTTCCTGAGCATTCTCACTTCACGTTGTACTAAAGATGATTTCCTCAACTCATTACCCAAGAGACTAATAATTGGTCTCGCCTCTCTTTTCTTATCTATTGCCACCATGATGGTCACTTTTGTTGCCACTCTTGGTATTGTGCTTGGTGAACGGAGAAGAATGGTGGTTGTTCCAATCGCTTTGCTTGCTAGTGTCCCAGTAGCCTCATTTGTTCTATTGCAATTTTCCCTATTTGTTGACATTTTCTCATCAACCTATGGACGCGGTATCTTCAACCAGAAAACAAAATGTTCTTTCTTCAACAACCCAAATAAGTATGTTCCTTCAAATCACAGATATTTCTCTCTTGTGTAATTAATATGCAATGATTGTGGTATTACTATGTCATTGGCATATATAATTCTTATCATGGTTCACTATAATCGCTATTTGTACTAGTAATTATGTATCTTAAGCAGAATAAGAGAGTGCTTATATTTATGAAACATGAAATGAGTGCTTTTTTTATTTTTCTTTGTTTTTCTATCTAGATGAGTGTATCTCTTATATTTAAAGCAGAATTAGTGTTCTTAAAGCAATAGGTATGGAGAGAACTACTATTCATAATGTTACTGCATGCTTTCCAATGCTTTTCTATTTTTGGGAGCTCTGACGCAAAAATTCAAATCTGGTTTTGATCCCCAGTCTCGATCTTGGTTTTTGGATGAATGAAATCGGTAAACATTTCAAAGACGAATTGGCATGGTGAAATTAGCTGAAATTTTTTGTTTGATGTTAATTGTTTACAACAAAATAGAAGAAAAGAAGAAGAAAAATCTTTTGTGCCAAAACAGTTACTTATATTGAGACGATAGCTTCGATTATATATTTTGATGCCGTGAATATGAAGTATATATATTACCACATTAGAGAACAGAGTTCCAAACAAACAAATATTGAGACCATACATGAGCGTCAAGCATACGAAAATATATATTTATTTTATATACCATACCACTTAATTACCGAAGAAAAGTTAAAAAAGCATACAATAATAAATAACAATGATCATCCACAATGTACGTAATAAACAAAGTGCATTACAATTTATGTGGTATGATTTCAAGTTTACGATCACAATCAACAGAATAATTATTAACTAGTATGAGATGGTTGTAAAATGGTTGCCTATGGTTCTAACATTCCCATGGTTGATAACTCGAACTAACATTTAAGTTGAATTTCATAATATTCTTTTTAAACGGAAAAAAAAAAACAAAAAAGGTAATTACAAAAGTAAGGCCTAAATAGAAGCCCACCCAAGAGCCCAAACCCATGACGAAATAATCTATTCCCTTTGTACGAGGAATAATCCCAACCCAAAATTAAGTGTGTCATGGCCAAGCCCAGCAAAATTAATGTTAACTAACGGATCTTGTTATTATTATTAATTTTTATTATTATTAATTTTTATTATTATATGCTAGGAATATATATAAGGTATCTCATATAAGTGTATATTAACATTTATTCAAAAGATATATGTATATACACGAGCATGTGACTCCAACTCCCCAAGTAGTATCTTGTCTTTTCTTAATACTAAATTATTGTTTTTAATATTATATTTTGATCTGAAATGTTTATGTTCAAGTGCTCCATTGCTTAAAGTGACTGACTTTAAATTCTAAAGTGGTAGAATGAAGAAAAAGAAAGAAAGAAACAGGGATAATAAAATAATTGGACTCCACAAGACAAATATATATGTATATATATATATATATATATATATATAGAGAGAGAGAGAGAGAGAGAGAGAGAGAGAGAGAGAGAGAGTGCTCCATTGCTTAAAGTGACTGACTTTAAATTCTAAAGTGGTAGAATGAAGAAAAAGAAAGAAAGAAAGAAACAGGGATAATAAAATAATTGGACTCCACAAGACAAATATATATATATATATATATATATAGAGAGAGAGAGACAGAGAGAGAGAGAGAGAGAGTGATGAATTAAAAAAGAACAAAGACTTTGGGATAACGATCCATTGTTGAAAGAGACAGTGAAGACTTGGGAACGACTTGTATAGTTCTATTTGTACACACAAATTTTATAAGTCAGTAATAAAAACAAAATATGAAATAAATGATATAATTTTATTAATTTGAGAAATTGAGGTACAATCTTCTATAATATTCTTTACAAAAGAAAGAAATGGTCCTATGATTAAATCTCTTTTTTTTTGTTAGTTGGTTGGATCTAAGGACTGTACGAGCTTGATCTTGAATCACCGTGGAATTTGGATGACGAACTGCACGACTTTGGATGTACTTATTGTTGATCACCGTGGAATTTGATGAAGACCAGCACGATTTGATGTGCTTGGTGTTTTTCGCCTTTGGGTTTGGTTGTTGGGGATGAAAGCTTTTGTATTTGTCTCTAAAATTCTGAAATTCTGAATTATGAATTTGTGTACCCCTTTCTTCTTCCTCCAGGCCTCTATTTATAGGCTTCTTGAATTAATAGAATGATGACACGTGTCATCTCTTAATAAGGATAAAATCATAACTGGGCCGAGCCAGTTATATTGTGATAATTATCCTTTAAAATAATTATTTCAAATATATTTTATTAGGAATAATTATTCCTAATATATTTTATTAGGAATAATTATCTTTCCATTTAATTATTTGAGCTGGGCTAATTAAATAATTTAAGTGGACCAAGTTTAGGCCAATTAAACATTAAACCCATATTTAATGGGTCAATTTGTCAAAACCAAAACCCACTAAAATTTTAGTATTTACAAATTGTCCCCATTTCGAGTTCCAAGTTTGACAGGACTTATTTCATTTTTCAACTGAGATTTGAAGTATCCAACTTTCCTTTTCTATTTTTTCCTCTCCAACTTTTGATTAGAATTTTATTTTTCCATTTGAATTGAATTATATAAATCCCAGTACAAATAGGAAATAGGAAGTATTTTGTTGTCTATATATACTACCCATATTATAGGGTTTGTCATCAATTTCAATAGCCAAGAATTGAAAGCTGGATGGAGTCTGCTACTGCTACAAACCAATGTTGATTGCAAACTACCACGAGTATGATTTCTTCTTTTCAAAAGAACTTCAATATTATTATTATTATTATTATTTTTTTTCCGCATGAATGTATTGTGCCTCACCAAGCTACTGCCAGGCTTTAAGAAGCATATGTACCTAAACCATGTTGACCTTTCTTTCCTTCCAATCCGTCTTCCTTGTGATCATTGTGCACTCACCCCCTTTGTCTTGTGTGGGCTTGAGATATACCATCATAGATCAGTACTATATATATATATATATCTATATTAACTGTCACTTAATCCGAGTACAAGAAGGAAACCTCTATGCACTTGTGTATTGCTTTCACTACAAAGTTTTTCTTTCACAAATTGTTTTTTTTTTCGCATGAATGTGCATTCCTGTTTCTTCTATCATCCTGTGTCGTCCTTTTCTTGTTCCACTTTATCATTACCATCACCACTTATACTAATCTGCATAGAACCATTACAGGTGCTTGATATATATACATATATATATATATTTGCATTGCATGTATTGCTGATGTCATGTGCCTTGTACAATTGGTTATCTAGCACCAAAACTTGCACTGCTTTTATATATCACTGTAAAACAAATCCAAATCCACGGAATTAATTGCGCAGATACAGTAAATTTTTTTTTCCTCTTCTTTTTTTCCCTTTTTTTTTTTCACACTATTTTTTTTCTTTCCTTTTTTTTTTTTCTCTCTCTCTCTCTCTCTCTCTTTTTTTTCACGCTTTTTTCTCTCTTTTTTTCTTTTTTTTTTTTCCTTCCTTTTTTTTTTTTTTTTTTTTTTCCCTTTTGTTTCAAACTTTTTTTTTTTTTTTTCCCCTTTTGTTTTCCTTTTTCTTCTTCTTTTTTTCTTTTCTCTCTCTTCTTTTTTTTTTTTTCTCTTTTTTTTTGCGCTTTTTTTTTTTGTTTGTGTTAGCCGCATTCAAATGCTTGATCCTGACAATGAACATTGTTCTTCTCGTTGGACATGCAAGGCTACAGGCGACCTCACCAACTTTGGTCTTGATCAGATTAATGAAGAATCTATTGAACTTGATATTAAATTATCAACTTCATTGGACATGTAAAGTCATTTGCAACTTCACCAACTTCGGTCTTGATCAGATTAATGAAGAATCTATTGTCTCGGAAGCCGTGATACTAAATTCTTCACTTTATGAGAGAATTGTTGAGAAAAACCAGTTTTCACTCTTGGATCTCAATGTTCAGGCAAAGAAAAATCATGGAGTATTCCTTGTATACTTTTTGTTGAATTGTCATACACCGAACTATATTAGGAGTGATTAGAAGATGTCTTGGCACGTTACCATGACTTTCTATCAAAACAACAACTATATGGTATTATATTCGCCTCCCTATTTTCATATGATCGCCATGAAGATTTATTCAAAGCATTCCTTGAATGTTGGTGCCCAGCCACTAATATTCTTCCTGATTTTATTGTTTGCAGCTACACTTAGGCGGTGGCCCTAATTCTTTTCTTCAACAACATCTCAGCGGAAAGTCAAATTTCTCTTTCAGCAATACCTCGGTGGCGAGCAGAATTATTATTATTTTTTTCTTCAACGACACCTCAACAGTGAGTCAAAATTTTGTTGCAACAACACCATGGTGATGAACCGGATTCTTCAGCGACGCCTTGGCAGAAAGTCAATTTTATTTATCTCTTCCAGTGACACCTTGATGACAAACCGGATTCTTCGGTGACACCTTGGCGGCAAATCGAATTTATTTATTTCTTCTAGCCACACCTCGATGACGAACTGGCCGGATTCTTCAGCGACACCTTGGCGGTAAGTAATTTTTTATAGTAACACCTTGACGTTGAACCGAAAATCTTTGAATTTATTCTTTGAAACTACATTTTGCCAACGGATCAAATTTCCTTTGTAACTACAATTTTGGCGACGAACCAAAATTATTGTTTGCAGCTACACCTTGGCGATGGATCAAATTTTCCTTTGCAGCTACACTTTGGTGGCGTGCCAAGTTGATAGGTACGACGAGCACTTTTTGATATCGTATGATGAATGACTTTGCCATTTTGCAACTTTGAGGAGTTTTTTTTTATTTTTTTATTTTTTTTTATGGCGGACTGAACTTGGAATAGGCCTCCAAGATGCCTACGTACCCTAAACAGGGATCAAGTCATCACGTAATTCAATTTTTTTTTCCTTCAAGACAGTTTATACTTGTATCAAAGAGTTATTGACTTTTTTTTTTGGGAGATAGTTTAAACTCGTATCAAGGAGTTCTTGATTTTTTTTCCCAGGTACATGGTTTAAACTCGTGTCAAAGAGTTTATTTATTTATTTTTCATCATACTGAACTTAGAAAGAAATTATAAGCTGCCTACGTACCCTCAAACGAGGGATCAAGTCATGACGTAGTTCAAAAGAGACATGTTTTTTTTTTTTTTTTTGGGCTGTACACAGTT